ACGAGTCAGCTCCCAGATAGGACGCTGGCTTGACAGATCATATTTTGATTGTTTTAGTTTAGACTAAGAAAGTAGTCTCTCAATGAAATGTAAACATACAATGCTGCACATTTTGCTTTAGTAAAAAGGTGTCCATTAACAGAAATGGAGATAAGGTAGAATAACCAAACTATCTACTTAGCATGCAAATTCAAACATACAGCAAAGGTATATCCCCAATCATTTCAAAACCCTTCTATAAATTGAAAGGGAACAGAACAGCTTCTATTTCGAACCCAAATCACCACTCATACATTACTTATACCCGAGAGCCGTGTCTAACACGTTGGTAGATTTAAGTCACCTGTGACTTCAACTTTTCATCTAAAACTCCAGCTGGCTTTTTGTTGGAGCTATTATACATCTACTTCAATGTAATCAACTTTAAGTAACCTCTTCAGGGTTTTATCTCAACGCTTCTGGCCCACTACAAAAACTGACTGTTTACTCTAATATAACCTAGTCCACTATATATCCTCACCCTTCTCATGAGCACTGTTGAATACAGCCATCCTATTCCAGGGATTTCACAGAACTGTACCTGATGCAAAGTAAAACTCAAAATCTGTTTAGACTGTAGTTTGCTTTTAATGTTTGAGTCATAGTAATCTATAGTACTGAAAACAGGCCCTTTCAGATTGAGCCTGTGTTGGTAAATGAGCAGCTAATCCCATTTCCCAGCACTTGGCCCATAGTATGTTTTAGTGCCACAAATACACATCTAAATGCTTCTTCAAAGTTATGAGGATTTCTATCTCTAGCACACTTCCAGGCAGTGAGTTCCAGATTCCCACCATTCTTTGGATGAAAAATAATTCTCACATTCCCTTGAAGCTGCCTGCCTCATCCCTTAATCTCTGCCCCCAGTCATTGACCCCTCCATCATGGGGAAAGCTTTCTTTCTCCGTACCCTGTCTACACCCGCCATCGTTTTACACGTCTCGATCATGTTCCCCCTCAGTCTCCTCTGCTCCAAAGAAAACAATAACCAGTCTGTTGAGTGTTCGTGTTTGAAACTTGCCAGCCCAGGCAAGGCTTGTAAATCTCCTCTGCACCCTGTGAAGTGCTATCACATCCCCCATCTTATGTGGGTTCCAGAACTGCACAGCATACACCAGCTGTGGTCTAACCAACATTTTATACAGTTCCAACATCAGTTCCCTGCTCTTAAACTGTGCCTCAGCTAATAAAGGCAAATATCCCATATGACTTCTTAGCTACTTTATCTATCTGTCCCACTGCCGAAAGGGAATGGTGTTCATGCTACCAAGCTCCTTCTGACATTTGGTGCTTCCCAGGGTCCTACTGTCATCATACATTCCCTTACCTTATTTGTTCTGCCCAAGTGCATCACCTCACACTTATCCAGGTTGTATTTCATTTATTTTACTATCAATCAGTTTCCCATATGGGACTTTGTCAAAAGCCTTGCTGTAGTTCAAGTACATCATGTTGA